TACTCATAATGTATGATGTATACGAATAGGCTTCGAAGGTTGCAATTGAGTTTATTTTATTACTCGTATAACCAAATAACGTGTTGTTCTGTGAAATAAACGAATGTAGGTAATTCCCGTTTTCGCAAAATTTGTCATTAATCTGCTACTACTGATTATAGACTGATAGTTCAAGGCCTATAACCTTTTCACAAAAATATTTAACCGATTTGGAGCATTAGTTCCTGCGATTCGTTCAATCAAACTAACAATTGTTTACTATTTAACCACTGGTTTCTCAGTTATTAGTGCAAAGTAGACGGATCGAAATTTGGAAAGCGATTCTGTTTCAGTAGTCGCAAGCGCCTCCCGCGCACGCCGCTGCCGCCGACCTCCCCTCTATTTGCTCACAGCACTGAGTACCTTAGGTACAATTGTTTACGCAAATCACCAACCGTTAAAACGTTAATTACCTCCGCTTATCTACGACCATCTCCGTTTCGGATTATTTAATAGCCAAGGAGCCTCCAGATAGCACTGATGAAGCCAAGTAATTGGATTATCAATTTTTACTCTCTGTAAATTACTTTATCTGCCCTTTAGGATCGTGAGTAAACGTTATCTACATTGAAATTAAGGAGACTCGGACTGTTAGGAACGAGAAGTAAATAAGCGGCTTTGCTACGATAATAAATCAATTGTATTCCGTAGCAATTGTCTGTCGTAGCATGAACGCGTCGTAGCAAGTATGCTACGAAACCTGCTTCGAGATCTTCATACACTGCATTGTAATAAATTATTGCATTATAAAAATGTTAATAATGCATCGGTTTTTTTAACCATATTTATTTATTACAATAATTTTATTATATTTGTATTGTAAAAAATAACAGTGGCAAATATTATGTAATATAATTTTTTAATGCATAACATGACAGGTATTTGACCGCACCCGGTGTTAAGTGAGATGCAGTCTAGGATGGTACATATCTGCCCTGTAAGTGCCTATTCACTCTCGCCTTAAAAAGGCTCGGATTATAGTGTTCAGGAAAGACAGCAGCAGGAAGCGAATTCCAGTCCCTAGCTGTTCGCATTATAAAAGAGTTACCGAAACATTTAGTGCGAGCTATAATGTCGATGAATAATATAATCGAATGCGCGTATATTTATTTTACACGTACAGATTAAAAAAAAATCTTTTCAACAGATAAGATGTTGTATATATTATCTGTGATATTATCTAGTAAAATATACGAGAGTACAAAAAAAAATAAAACCGACTCCAAAAAAACCTACACTAAAACGTAGAAAAATTATTACTAATTACCTACTTATTTATTAGGACGAATTATTAATATTTATGTAGGTATACCATGATTGATACTTTTGGAGTCGGTGCAGGCAAACTTTACATGTTTCATAATCTTTGCACCGACTCCAAAAGTATCAATCATGGTATACCTACATAAATATTAATAATTCGTCCTAATAAATAAGTAGGTAATTAGTAATAATTTTTCTACGTTTTAGTGTAAGGTTTTTTGGAGTCGGTTTTATTTTTTTTTATAAAATTTTACTTATTTCTTGCTTTTTAGTTAACTAATTATTACCTTGATGTTACCACTGAAGGTAGGCAGTACACTGAGACCAAAAAAAATTGGTATCATACATAATCGGCGGAGATATTGCGTATAAAAAAGTTCATCCCCAATTTTCCACCCTTGGGGGTGAAATATTTTCTTCAAATTCGCATGAAACCACCCTTTTCATAATGCCTATTCAACAAAAAAATAATCGTTCAAATTGGTTTATAATTGGTGGAGATATTGCGTATAAAAAAGTTCATCCCCAATTTTCCACCCTTGGGGGTTGTTTTTTTTATTATTAAATTTAAATGGGACCACCCTTGAGGTATTACCTATACGCCGAAAAAAGATTTGTTCAAATCGGTTCATAATTGGCGGAGTTATCGCGTAACAAACATAGAAAAAAAAAAAAACATACGGGTCGAATTGAGAACCTCCTCCTTTTTTGAAGTCGGTTGAAAATAGAATATTATTTCCTGGCTATCACTGCGTCGTCACTTCCAACCAGCAGGGATTGTTAGGGTGTAAAGACTTTCATCTTACATTGATTTAGCCGACGTATTTTCCATGGATGATGCGATTTACAGGTCGAATTGGGTCGTAACGATCCGCAAATCGATTCGAGTGAAGAATTACGCATCCTTGTGCCGAACCCGATGCCGGGACATAAATCACTTTCGCCGCCCCGCCGCGACAATTTCGACCTTAGTTCAATAGATTATCGTTTATTTTTGTGCGGTGCGAAGCTCTCTCATTACGGGCCCTCACGAGCGGCATATTTTGCAAACGCTCCGGATATTCTGCCGCGTGTGAGCGTCGCACCGCACTCGGCCTCGGCCTGGTAGCGCCCACCCGCAAATAATAAACTGGGACTCACTCTACCAGCTGGAACTGTATCAATATCACCATCTACAGGGATAACGCATAACCAAGTAGATTCCTGCGGCGCTGGAGCGGAGCGGGAGAGGTGATTTGTGGTATAGTAGCAAGCCGCCGTGTGACAGCAGGCGCGAAGTACCACGGCATTATTTTATAAAACTGATCTTCCAGCTCGCAAGAAGAGAGTTATAATGTAATTAACGATATACGTCAATAGAAAAAACGTTGAAAATGACATTGGGAACTTTTTGCCCCACTTTTCGAAAAGTAGCGGACACAAACGAAACCTATCACAGATGATACATACTAATATCCAATGAATTTCCGTGCATTTTTTTTTCTCTCTTATATGGGAATATTGAGAAAATGAAGTTTTAATATTTTATTTTATTTTACATTTAGGTAACATTTTTGACGACCTCCGTGGCGGAGAGGCGCACACACCGGTTTTCAAGGTGTGCCGGGCCAATCCTGAGGTCCCGGGTTCGATTCCCGGCCGGGACAATATAGATAACGATCTTTTCACATTGTCTCTGGTTTGGGTGTGTTGTGGTTCGTCGTTCCCGATTTCCATAACACAAATGCCTTAGCTACTTATTTTGGGTTGGAGTAATATATGAGATGTTGTCTAATATTAATTTAAGTATTTATAATATTTTATTTATTTATATTATTTTATTTATATTATTTTATTTATATTTTTTATTTATTTATATTATTTTATTTACTTTTATTGGTTACTCTGCAATGCCAACAACGTAACATGTAAAAATATCAAATCATTTTAGACAAATATATTTTAAACTTAGACTCGTCATATCTCAGAATTCCCATATCTCACAACATAGCGCTTTAAGTGAATATACCTACAAGTATAAAGCTTTGAAATAAAATACGTTTCATCTTTGTCCGCCGTGGGGCATTTTCTCATATTAAAGTTCCCAATGTCCTTTCAGAAACAAAATCTGCTTGCTATTTTTGTAACTCGTAATCAATAAATAAGGTAATACCACAGATAATGTAATACTCATTCCAGTCGCGTGAGGATCAGGCAGGTAATTTTGTTAACATAAATAACGCGAGTCCGTTGCCATAAAGCGACGGCAGACTTGGTTCGATAGTAGCTGAAACCTTCGGCCGCTGAACCTCTTGATCTTGGTTACATTTTATTATTGCTAAGTGTGTACTCGGAAGGGCTCACGTTTGTTAGTTTCTAGAGTCAGCAGGGCCCGTTTCACAACGCGTTTGCAATCTGTTTTGCGTTCTCCCGTATCACAAATAGGGCTTATTTTGCGATTCTACGAAGGAACGCGGAGCAGTAAGCTTTGTTTGCGGTGCTCATAAATTGTTCTACAAATAGAGATTTAGATAAGGGTGGGCAAATTGAGCGCCTCCTGGACCGCGCCATTCGTTACTCGTCCGGTACATTTGCTAATCAATTTACACAATACGTTTTGCATAGGCCGGCCATTACGCGCCTTAATTAACCCTAACTCAGACAATCCCTTCTAATGGAAGGAAGTTCCAATTTAAATCGAATGAAGATTTTAAAAAAGTGTCGTCACAATATACATGCAAATGAAACTCCCACTGCGTCCGCCGACGCGCTCAATCTCACGCGTGGCGCTCCCCGGCGCTGTAATCACATAATCATGTACATATACTCATTAAGAATCTGCATGTAAAGTGGCACCCCATCAAAAGCTTCGTCATGACACGTTGACCTCTACCAAACAAATAAGCAGTTCTTAGCAAAGTATAGAGCAACGCAATTGTGAAACCGTAGCATAATAATATAATAACCCGTAGCCAAAACATTATCGTAGCACGTAGCAAGCCCCACACTTGTGATTAAGTTTACCTTACGACTAATTTTAGAGTCCAAATTCTAAACTTTTGACAGGCGCTTGTTTTATGTATTCGAAGTTTCTTTGGCCGAGTCCGAGTGAAACCGCCCAGCGCGAGTTTTTAAAGCAAAAAGATGACCATCTTTCCGCAGCCTTAAAATTCAAAGTGAAAACATTTTCTATTAGGTAAAGACTGAATAACAGAAGTGTCTTTATATTATAACTTCGGTGAACGGAAAATAAATAGCGCCGTTCATTTACGTTAATTTCCGAAGTGTGTCCGCCGCGAGCCCGAGTCGGAGCTACGATATGAAAAGTTCCGAAGCAACACAATTAATTGTTCGAGCAAAACTGTAACTAGTTTACTTGCCGCGTTCAGCAAGTGTTCGTTTGAAAGTCACCTACTTCGCTACTTCGATATTAATTAATGTGAAAATATTTAAGAGCGTTGATTTCTTCAAAAGATAAAAGGCAATTTGTATGAATGAAAGCGGTTACTTAGTTTAAACCGCCAACTGGTTGAGCTTTGATCAGTACCGGTTGAGTTTTATCCATAGGTTTTATCACACCATAATTATTCCAAGCTTTTATTTCCAAAGCTACAAACAATACCGCAAAAAACTTCGATCCGAGTAACTCTTTTTTCGGGTATGACGCTACAAATAAAATTTTGTGGAGTTGGTAATGACCAGAGCGTTACTTGTTTCAGGGACAAATGCGGCTCCGGCGGCAACTTCTTTTAACGGTAAGTCAGTTTATTGAGTTGGGTTCTTTTTATTTCGCCTCTTCCCAGATTTATTTAATATCTGGGGGCACGGCAGTGCCCCCGCCAAGTCGAGCGCGAAGNTTTATTAAGCCTACAATTGACTGGCAGATTGGTGCAATGGTGTCATGGAGCACCTGGTTTTGTACCCTTCAACGGCCAAGTCACACAACATTAACTATAATAATAAAGAAATCGCAGTAAAGAACCATAGACTTGGCACGACTTTGTCTTGATTTCATTACTTTTTAGAGATAAACAAGCAGCTCCATCGAGACTTGGCTAGTTTTTTACAGAATGTTTTTGGTGGGATTTAATATACTCTTAGGCATAGTGTGCTTAAGATTTTTTTTCTTATAATTTATTCAAAATTTTCTACCAAGTTGTAGGAGTATTATTATAATTTTCTTTTGGTAGATAAATAAAATAAAAAATAAATAAATAAAAATAAAAAATAAAATAAATAAATAATTTTCTTTTGGTAGGTAGCAAAATTTTCAAACAAACATGCTGATTATCAAATTAATATCCTTCGAACTCGAAACAAACAAACTCAGAACAGTAATAAAACAAAAATAATTTTCAAATAAATCTATTGACAAAATCATTTAAAACAAAAGTGGGAGCATTCACCTTGCCGGCATGATCGTCAGTATCAGCGGCAAGAAGGCGGCGGGCGCGAGCGCGCGCGGCGGCGCGGCGCCGATCATGCGCATGCGCAGCGCCGCGTCCGTGTCGTGGATGGTGGCGTTGATGAGGTCGGCGTAGTTGTACAGCGCCGTGAACACGCTCGTGGCGCCCGCCGCCGGCTGCAGCGCGCCGCCCCCGCCGCCGCCGCCGCCGCCGCCGCCCGCCGCGACGCCCGCGCGCGCGCACTCCAGCGGGCCCATCGACGTCACGCCCACCTGCGCCAAACACAGACGATGCAGAAGGCCGTGGAGTCGGTCACGCCGGCGACAGTGAGCAGGGCGAGCGCCGCGTCACCTGCACGCCGCGGTACAGCACGGGGCCGCCGGAGTCGCCGGAGCACACGCCGCGCGCGTCGCGCCCGCCCGCCACGCCGCACACGCAGTGGAACCACGCGCCGCGCTCGCAGAACACCAGCTGCAGCTTCACGCTGAACAGCTCCTCGCCCAGAATCGAGCGCTCCGTTCGTCCAAAACCTAGAACCTGACAATAAATAAGAAATAATAAGTTACTTCATAATAATAAATCACTTTGGATGCATGCAAAATCGTCGTTCATTATTTTGTCACGAGAATCATCAAGAATGGGCTCGTGCTGACCTCCACCTCCTCGTTCTTGAGGTCGACGGGGTTGTAGAGGCGCATGGCGCGCAGCGGGTCGGCGGCGGCGCGCGCGGCCAGCGCCATGGCGGCGCGCGTGCGCACCAGCCCCACGTCGTGGTGCAGCAGCGTCACGTCGGGCCCGCGGCCCTCGTCCTCCTGCACCACCTTGTAGCTGCGGTAACACACGCTCTCAGCGCCCGCCGAACGAACTTCGTTAAGCCTCTACTGGGCTAGGACTACATTAATAACTATCTAACTGAGATGGCGCAGCGACCCAAAGTGAACCTTGGCCTCCGAAATTAACAACTTACTAGAATTCAAAGCAAAAAGTTGATAGATAATTAAAATGATACTTTTGTTATAAAATTAACAACAGTACATAAATCTGTACTGTTGGCCGAGATAAAGAAAGAGGCACTGTACGGACGGGAGGCAGTGCAGAGAAACTACGGGACAATACGTATACAAACATGGCTATCAGCACTGAGCATGGACTATGAACGTATCGCAGTATTGTGACGTCAACCTACCCAGGATGCCTGTAAAGATAATGGACAGCCGCGACGTCCCCGTCGGGCGAGGAGGGCCGGCGCGCGTTGAACTTGACGTAGGCGACGCGCGGCGACACGCAGTGCGCGGCCGTGAGCGCCCAGCGCGGCGCCAGCACGGCGGCCGAGCAGCGCGCCGTCCAGTAGCGGTCCAGCAGCGCGCACGCCGCCGGGAAGGCCGCCAGCTCGGCCGCCGCGCCGCCGAACACGCGCCGCGTCGCCAGCTCGCTCTCGGCGCTCCACAGCCCCTGGTTGCCCATGCTGCGGTAGAACCCGTAGCGGCTGCCGTTGGCCTGGCGCAGCGCCGCCGCGCAGCCCGCCCATGCGAGCAGCACCACCGCTGCGGCTCCTAGCATTGCTCCTGCACGCACGCACTACTAAACAAACACTGAAACTTCATTTTTAATCGCTTCTTAGTTGACGTAGGAGTCACTATTGACGTTTGCATGACGGGAGACAGATTTTTAATAGATATTTGATCAGTTTTCATCATGGAGATTTTATTCATTCATTTTTTTAATGGAGCCCTATGCTTACTGCTATAAAATGGCAAAAGTAAGCCAAGTATTGCACCTCCGACCGTTACATAATAATGCCAGCTAAGTGTGGATACTCCACCACGTTTGCCTAAAACGAATTGCTGGAAACTTACCTGTGGTTCACAAATTATGTTGAACTGAATTGTGGATGTAACTGATGTAACTAACCAAACCGTTCAATCAAGTTAAATGTATTTAAAATAATGCTTGTTACATTATTAGCCAAGAAAAAATTGGCCAAGTGCGTGTCGTGCCACCGATAGGGTTCCGTAGTTGTCCGTCATTACCACAATATACACGTATTTCAGAAGGAAGCAATTACTTCATCTAAAGTCACTTTTCATATTAAATTTTCTTCTAAGGTTTTTTACTGCTTAAGAAATTCTATAATACATGAGTCAAATAACTATTACTCTTAAACTAAGTGATGTATCTTAACCGTTATAGTTTTTCTTAAAAGTTCATGAAAAGCATTATTATTATTATAGCCTGACCAGGAACATAAAAACCCTGGCATAGAGGCGCGTCAATTGCATTTGATAGTGCAACACTGAGTACAGTCGTACCTGTGTTAAATTAATAGGCTAACTTTATGTATCAGGATTCAGGATTACGGGCTAATTTGATATTTTCATAAATTAACGAAAAAATATAATTATAGGTAACCTGGTTTAAATAAATTAAATGAAACCATCAATCGAGCTGGTAGGATTTATTTTATTATTCATCAATAATCAAATTCAGAACTTGAATATTCAACTGCAATGTCTGCTCATGAACGCTTCAAACTCGGTACTTCTTTCCTAATTCCATAAAATTCAACACGACAGTGACAAAATATTTTAAAATAGGTAGCTGAAACAAACCACAGCTAATTTTCATAGTGGACTGTACTACATATACGATAAAAATGTCAGTCAATTTGACAACCTTTGTCGGAAACATTATTCAATGAAAATATTGTCCGAACCCTTAGTATTTCTCTTCGACAAATACTTTAACACATTGTGAACCACTTTTCTTTCACGACTATAAAAAGATTTTAGCAATTTAATTCACAAAATCAATTGCGCACATTTAAAATAAAGTTTGTTTACACTTTGACAGCAATAGACTGACATGCAAGGTGACATGTCAATGAAGTTTTCAGTTACTGTTGCCATTAAAAGAAATTAGTACCATTAGTTTTCCGCAACATGGCGAGGGTTTTTATGTTCCTGGTCGGGCTATACGAATTTTCCCAGATTTTTCAAGCCAACAATTTACTTTTTAGAGGGGGGGGGGACGTATTTTTAATAATAATAAATAGTTTATTCATTAAAAATAAGAGCATTACAAGAACTTATTATGCTAGAGTTTACATATACGGTTCATAGTCTTTTGTAGCCTGAGCTAGGTTAAAAACCTGTGTTTCAGTAGTATTAAATATTTAGGGGGGAATAATTTCGAACTAAGTAGGTATATTTGAACAATAATAAGGGAATTATAGGTCACAGCAGCTAGAATGGTACAGACATTTACAAGAATAATTTTGTTCCCCGCAGATGGCGAGGCGGAGCCGGCGCGGCCGCGCGTGTTGACGCGGCGCTGCGAGATGCGCGCGGGCGCGGGCGGCGCGCGCGCGGGCGCAGCATGAACGCGTCCGAGGGCTGCGACTCCGACTGGGGCGTGGAGGAGTCCGACAAGCTGTTCCGCTTCGTGGTCAACGGCGTGCTGCTCAACTGCATCGGCGCCGGCGGGCTGCTGGGCAACGCGCTGTCCGTGCTGGTGCTGTCGCGGCCGCAGATGCGCTCCTCCGTCAACTGCCTGCTCGTGGGGCTGGCGGCCTGCGACACCGTGCTCATCCTCACGTCCGTGCTGCTGTTCGGGCTCACGGCCGTGTACCCCTACACGGGCCGCCTGCGCTTCTACTACTACCACATCTGCCCCAAGATCACGCCCTACGCGTACCCCATCGCCAACGCGGCGCAGACCATGTCCGTGTACCTCACGCTCATCGTGACCATCGAGCGCTGGGTGGCCGTGTGCCACCCCTTCCGCGCCAAGGCGCTGTGCACGTCCTCGCGCGCGCGCCTCTACGTGTTCGGCACGGCCACCTTCGCGATCGCCTACAACTTCCCCAAGCTGTTCGAGGCCGAGGTGTACGAGAGCTCCGACGCCGGCGAGCTGGTGTACTGCGTGAAGCCCGACGAGGAGTTCCGCACCGAGGCGTACGTGGCCGTGTACATCCACTGGATGTACCTGATCGTGATGTACATCGTGCCGTTCTCGGCGCTGGCGGCGCTCAACGCGTGCATCGTGCGGCAGGTGCGGCGCGCGCAGGCCGAGCGCGCGCGCCTGTCGCGCGTGCAGCGCCGCGAGATCGGGCTCGCCACCATGCTGCTGGTCGTCGTGCTCGTGTTCTTCCTGTGCAACATCCTGCCGCTCGTCACCAACTCGTTCGAGCTCTTCTTCGAGAACCAGCTCGAGAAGCTCGACCCGCTGGTGAAGACGAGCAACCTGCTGGTGACCATAAACAGCAGCGTCAACTTCGTCATCTACGTGATCTTCGGCGAGAAGTTCAAGCGGGTGTTCCTGAAGATGTTCTGCAGCGGCGGCATCTGGCGGCGCGGCACGCGCGACTCGCCGGAGCACACGCGCGACGACTCGTTCGCGTCGTGCGGCGAGCGCGTGTCGCTGCGGCTGGCGCGCAACGGCACGCTGCGGCGCTCGGAGGCGCGCTCGAGCCGCAGCGCGACGGGTGTGACGGGCGCGACGGGCGCGACGGGGCGCGCGCGCCGCTCGCCCTGCCCCGCGCCCACCGTGTACTACCCCGCGCCGCTCACCGAGCTCACCAGCGCCTCGCTGCAGCCCGACACGCCGCCGCCCGCCGCCGCGCGCTGGAACGGCCACTCGCGCGTGCACTTCTGAACCGGCTCGAGCGTCGGCTGTCCGGACGAGACGTCACAGACTATTGAGTGGCATCTGTGCTGCACGTGAACTGTAAACGCAAAAAGTACCGCGAAAGTGCGAGGACAACTGTACAAGTGATAAATGACTAAAATGCCACTTTGGCGATTCTGTACTCTGTTTCTCAATAATGTGACATTCTATGCAGGGATTTGAGAGCAAGCCACGAGGTTTGACCACTCTTAAAATAATGTTACCTTTATCAAATAATTGTTACTGATAGATAATGTATTGTTTTGTAAATAGTTACTTATTATCTCGTTACTGATACCTCATGTGAGCGCGAGCAGAAGCCGCCGAGCGGCCTCGATGTTTCTCAACAAATAAACGTTTTATTTGACTCTATTTATTTATATTTATACTTTGTGAACTAGCAAATCTACCCGATTTGTATTGAAAAATTAATCTTCTGACTGAAATATCTTAATTAGGTAACTGAATTAAGTATGTGTACGTAAGTATAAATGAAGTAAGTATAAATTACCTAACATTTTTACCATTCTATCCGTAACCTATAGTATCAATAAATATACTCGAAAATCAAAGTAAACTAATTGGTGTTATTAAAAAAAACTTCAACAGACGTTAAACACGTCTTTAAAATGATATATCCATGCTAAATGCCAATTTAAATGAGATATTCATGGTAAGACCACCTACTTCCGACGCAGAGGTCCCGGGTTCGATTCCCAGTGGGGCAGATTTTTCTCTTCGGTTTGGTTGGTGGTAGGGCTTGTTCTAAGTCCGCCTGGCTAGCTACCACCATCTTACCTAAGTCTGTCGCCATAACAACAATGTTAACAGCATTGTTGTGTTCCGGCAGTTAGAGGTAAGATAGCCAGTTCCCCCGTGGTTAAGGATTCCGAGTGAAACTCGCTTCCACCTTCGGCCTGATCATCACTTACCATCAGGTGAGATACAGGCCAAGAGCTTCTTCGTTGTGGATAAAAACAAAATCATCCTTATATTAACGATCAATGCAATAAATATACAGAATGTTAATTTTTAACAAATTTTAGTTGGTTCGATTCCCGGGTGTGGCAATCTTTTTGGAACTCTTTGAATGCAGTTCTATTTCTTTTCAACAGTAAAGGCAAAGTTTTTGAGTAAAATTTTCTATCTACAGTATTAAGAGTACATACTTTCCCTTGTATAACCCACAAGAAAGTGCGAATGTTTAGCGGTGCACACTGCGCAGCGTCTTTNTTTGCCCTAAGTCACTACAAAGTATACGCGAGCAGTACGCAGCATATGCGTACTGGTCGTGTATAGTTTGGAGGAGCTTAGTAAAAAAAGTCATCTCCAAACTATACTCGATTAGTTTCACACCCTTGCGTTCTGGCTATGTATAGAACGGAAAGACGCCACTGCGCAGAGGCGAGTTAATTATGTATCCGATTATAATGATCGCTGTTAAATGAAGGGAGTGCGTGTTGACACTGCAATAAAGGGAATTAAGCGGCCCGAGCCGTGGGACGATATTAAAAATTCCCGCCGTCGCCGTCGGAGGCGTGACGCCGATTTACTCGTTAATTACCGGCTGTCGCGCCGACTGGAGGTGAGCGAGGCCCGACGACGCGCGGCCGGGTGCGACTTCTACGGACTATGTAAGTAAAGGTAAGCGGTAAACAAATGAGTTCTCAAATCATGCTATAGTAAATTTATTTATCATAGCCTTTGTAAATTCGATGGATAGGCTCCATTAAAGTCTAATTTCTAAGTTACTAAGAAAAAATCGAAAAAGCCATTTCGACCTCAAACGAGTTAAGTTGTTTTCAATGTGTATTGTAAAATATGTTTTTTTTTTTTAAATAAACTCTCAAAACTAACAAATGGCGCTTTAATGACGCGTCGTAACGTAGCATAAATTAACTGCTATTGAAAGTATTACCGACGACCTACCGATGGGGGAGTGCCGAAGTATCAGGGTAGTTTATTATTTATTAGTTATATGTGATCATTTCTGCAAAAGTAAAAAAGTATAGATCACGACAATTATTTTCCCCACCAAACTAAGGCTTAGTTTTTTGATTCCTAGATAAAATAACCAATATAGATGACCTACACTGAATGTCCCACCGCCATCATCGCGCCACCATCGTTCAACTACATAGTTTCCAATATGGCAAAAATCGGAACCAGCGATCCGGTATTTTGATGGTGGCGCCCCGCTGTCACTGGCAAGGACAGTTCAATAGTCAAATTTGACAGATGTCAAATGACAAGTGGTTAAATATCAGAAAAAAAAAATTTTCGAGCAATGGTTAGCTTGACTTTTAGTACATTTTTTAACTTTAACTTTACATTTCACTAATATTTAACTATTAGTAGCCCCTCGTGTTGAGCTAATATGCTTGGTGTTATGAGTGGGCTCACCACAATACATGGGAACATTTCAGAGCTGTCGCACTAAAAGTGCCTATAGCCTATAGCTAGCTAGCGCGTCCGCAGTTCCGCACCCAGCGAGCGGCGCGAGCGCGCCTCGGCTCGCCAGTCAACATCGCTGCCCCGCGCCGACCGCGCGTCGCTCGTGCGCCAGCTTTTCTTCTAGCTACCCTCTTGTGCATAATATTGTTAGAATCGAGTACTTTAATTAACTCTGATCTTCTTAATTGTGTGTTCTTTATAACTTTCTTTGCTGTGAACTGTCGCTTCTCCTTCTTCTTGTGCTATTGACAGACGTGTGGTGTGTGTGTGTGTGTGCCTTTATTTGTGTGGAAATAAATGCACGGAGTTGCAATTGCGGTATTATTCTTCGCATTAGGTAAGTACCACATACTCTCAACACAGTACAATATAATCAACCACAAAAGCTACAAAATTGAGTTAGCCACACCATTTGATGTGGCTATGGTCTCCTATTATACGCTGTACGCGGCGTACGTTGGGCGTACGAGGTCAGCGTCAAACGTTCCTCCTATGGACGATGGAAGCCTTACTTATGCTAACATCAACGTCTGAAGAAGAACACTACAGTACATTCATTCAAAGATAGTAAAACCAGTAAAATAGAACCATAAATAATTTGAATGTGGTCTTGCGGTTTCTAAGTAATCCCCGCTATATGAAATGTGTATTGTTGTCTAATTTTGGCGTTTACCTATAATACATCCAGCTGATCCAGTAAGCATTGATTTGCAACTAGGGGCATGAAAAATAACAAACACAAAATCATGAGAATCGATCCTACTGTTTTCAATACTCAATAATGTTTATTGCTTCCTTAATAGTACATTTAGGTGTTACATATTATTATATTTGGAGATCATTAAGGACTCTGTTTTGGAGGAGTCCTGTGGTAAACACTGTGACACAAAATCTACTCACCCTGTTCTGGGTTACCTACGTGAGTGCGACAAACGTTACATCGAAGTTAGTTTCTTCGAAAACCTTTCTGCGATGTTACTATACTGCGAAGCCTTGTTATATCGATGCCTTGTTACTGCGATGTTACGTTACATCGAAAAACTTTACTGCGAACGATTTTATAGTCGTATTTTATAATTTATTTATATTTATGTTTCTATTCTTATGTTATTTAATCAAAGATGTAACTGTTAAATATATGTAATAAGTAAATAAAATGTAATGTATTTATAATCTTATTTCATCTATAATTTTGTACCGCCCACTTTATTCTATGTATGTATGTATGTAATTTCATTTTTTTATCTATCTG